TATATATATATATATATATATATATTTTCTGTAAATATATATAATCATGTTGATTGTGGGGTGAAATATGACCCAAGCATGTTCTTGACAGGTTTTGTGAGATTCACCCTGAGCAGCTGCAAATACGGAGTTCTGGCTTCATAAATGAAATAAGTTTTATTCACCTTCAGGGCCTCCAAAATGAAGTCCTGTACCACGAGTGACTCCTCATTGGACAGGCACAGTTTGTCCTCACCCCTGAAGGTCACAGTGAAGGTCTCGCAGCTGATTGGCTGATCTTTAGTGGGCCAGTACACACACTCTCCCTCTCTGCTCTGTGACGGTCAGAAACGACAGGCCTCAGTTATTACATACGGATGTGTGCAGAAGTTTAAAGGTGTTTGTGTGCGTGTGACTCACGGCGCTCTGTGTATCTGGCATGTGTGTGTGAGAGAGACTAACCGTGCTCTGTGTATCTGGCAGAGAAACTATGATCTGTGCGTTGTGATCCCAGATCATCCTCCAGAAGTCCTGTGTGGTGTTTGGCAGAGGATTCTGGGTAACGATGAACTCACAGCTCTGATGGTAGCCCTGTAAACGGCACAGACTCGTTGAATCACACCATATTACTTAAGAATCTAAACAGGAGCATGAGAACAAGTGTCTCACCATTAAATAGGAGGCATTGATGTAGTCTGATGATTCTCCAGGTCCTGTAGACAGACTGACCCTTGACCTCTCCACTGAAGCGCAGATGGAGCACATGTGAGGATGAAAATCAGCCATTACGGTTCACAAAACTAAAGATCTTGAATATATTCTGATCATAATCTGAATATAATTTTTGGAAGGAACCAGGAAAGCATCTTATATATTGCATTTATGTATGTATATGAATAAATATGATATTTTAAAAATAATACAAATAGATATAATAAATATTGAATATTTATAAACATTTGAATATAACTGAATATAATTATTTTAAAACAGTTACCCTTTCTCTTTTTATATATTTATGTATATAAATAAATGTGGCATATTAATAAATAATACTGAATATTTATATATAAATATCTTTATAAAATAAATATATAAGTAAATAAAAAATACATTTACATAAAAATAAATGCATTAATTATTGGAAAAAGCAGGTTGCCTTTTGAGTTTCTATATTATATTAAT